ACCTTTGAAAGGGAAGAGATTTTTAGACCAATAGTGAGAGTCAGGAAACTACGCTGGGGCAGCTGATGGTGAATGGGAGAATGGTGTGAGGTCCTAAGGTGCCTACTTTGAACGGGACCAAGATGTCATTGTCCCATGTACTATAGTTCTTGTATCCTGTACCTTCAGTAAATGTCTATTTTTCATTACATGGCTGGATACCTTCTGGACAGACTTCATACTTGAAGCCTCAGTTTAGTTACTCAGAAAATAATAGCATGTACATCATAGAGTTATGAAGACTAAATGAGATACTGCATGTAAAATACTTCTGAGCATAAAGCCTGCCGTAAATATTAGTTTATGTTAATCATCATCATTACTGTCCTGATGAGGAGTTTTCAGCCTGAAGTTGACTAGAACTATCAATTAGTAAGTATTTATGAAGTACGTTATCTCTAATATTGGATTTTAGACCTATGGAAGGAGCTACTGATGTTTATGACAGGTTGGTACCAATGGTGGAGCAAAAAGAACTAATATTAGCCGAGTTCTTATCACAGTGTTCAGTGGTAAGGTAGCTATTATTTCTACTTTGTCAATGAGGAAGCTGAGGCTTGGTAATATTAAGTAACTTGTTCAAGAAAATAGCCTGTTGTTGAATCCCACTTCTGCCATTTAGCTGTGTGGTCGGATTAATTTGCTTAACCTTGAAGGAATAGGACTATTGACTCAAATAAATTAATGTTAATTCGTTTTTAATTTTAAATATATTGACATGTTCTTCAGTGTCAAAATATAGATATCTATTTTACTTACTCCTACTACTGCCCGTTTTTGAGTTCTCTATAAATCTTCCCCACCCCCCAGTTCCTTCAGCTTTAAGATTCTCTCCTCCAATTTAGAAAATACCAACTTCGTTGATAGTTGGATTGAAAATAAAGGATTAAAAGTAAGGGTAATGATGGATGCGATAGTGTTGAGAGGGGAAGAACTGGCATATGGGAGTTAACGTAGGTGTCACTACAGGGCCTGATCTGTTTTTTAGGGTTTCAAAGAGGAAATAAATGATGCTGTTGAAATTTACAAATGTTAGCTCAAATTGGATGGGTAATTATAAGGGATGAGTGCTCAGAGTTTTCCCTTAGGGCTCAGCCACCCTGTCTTGCTCTAGAAATTAATTGGCCTTCAAATATGAGTAAGAGCACTCGGGAAAACAAATCTGAAAAAACCTCAGGGTAATACTATGAATTATCAATACATCACCCCTCATGTGTAATATATCATTCACATTCTAATCAAAAAGCTGTAAATTCTCATGTAATGATGATATTGTGTTGGGAGCTATTCAAGCAAAATTAACAATTGTATTCCTGTTTTTTTGTTTATTTTTTTTAAAGATTTTTATATATTCATTTTTAGAGAGAGAGGACGGGAAGGAGAAAGAGCGAGAAACATCCATGTGTGGTTGCTTCTCTTAGGCACCCTACTGGGGACCCATCCCACAACCCAGGCGTGTGCCCTGACTGGGAATCCAGCCAGTGAGCCTTTGGTTCACAAGCTGGCGCTCAGTCCACTGAGCCACACCAGCCAGGGCTGTATTCCTATTTTCTAAAACCAAAAAGGTATATAGCTACTTTCATACATTGCTAATGGAATTGTACAAGGGTACAGTTTATTTGGGGATAAAAATAGGCCTTATATAAAATTTAAAAATGTACATGCCCTTTAGCACAAAAGTTTTACTTCCAGGAGTTTATCCTTTATATATGCTTATGCACAAGGATATTTACTGCAGCATTGTTTCTGGTAACAAATGACTAGAAACCACCTAAGTGTTTATCAGTGGATGACTAGTTAAAAAAAAAATAGACACACACACACAGATATATCTGTATAAGGCAATACTATTCAATCTTTAAAAAGAATAAGTAGATCTGCTTCTACCTTAAAGTGAAAAACAATATTTAGTATATTTAGTATGCAACGATTGTGTAAAAACAGAAACATTCTTACGCTTGTGTAGGCATAGACTCTGGAAGGATATGCAAGATATTTCTTCTGAGATTCCCCTTGATACACAGATTTCTTCTGAGATGGGTGGGTAGAAGGGCAGCATCCTCTCTGTTATCAAAATGTTTTTGAATATTTGTATCAAATACCTTAAAATGCCATGTGAAACATATGTATTTGGCCATACATTGTTGCTTAAGAGCTTGCATTCATTGATGAAGACTTTTGTGTTCATGCTTTGGTGTTTGTGCTTTTGAATTAGAGTACTCTGTCAGTTGGCCTTTTGATCTAGAAATCAGGAGCAGTATCGAGTGCCTCTTTTAGGGTAGGGTGGGTACTGGTAGAAGTTTTAGGTAGCAGGTGAAGAAAAAGCTGAATATAGTTTTTAAAAAAAAATTAAAAAATATAGAGTATTGAAATGATTAGGTTATTCTGCCTAAATAAAACAGAAGAGCCAGAAAACAAAATTAGCTGGAGAACTTGAAAGCATTTTGGAAGTATGAATGTACATAGAAATGAGGAACAGGAAGGGAGTCGAAAGTCCACAGGGAACTAAAACCATTTTATAAACATTATCTCATCTCTAAATTATACCCTTTTGTAAAAAGTTATTTTCCAGACTTTCAAAACCAAAGAAATTGAAGCCCAGATGACATTTTGTGGTTTCCTATGTAAATAAGAAGAAAATGCAAAATGAGGACTAGAACCTTGTTTTCTTGGTTTTCCAATCTAGCCCCACAGTTATTCTGAGATCACCTGAATTTTGATATAGGTATAGCAACAAAAAACAAGACGAACATTTTTTAAAAATTCTATTTTGAACTTGATGTGTAAAAGCACTTGTTTCGGAAGGTTTTATCTTTCTGCGTCCACTGTTAGGAGATGAAGGTCGGAATGGACATTGAAAGAAAGCTTTGGACACTGTACTACCATTTGTTTTTACCAAGTCATTCTGGTTCAGGAAAAGAAAGGATAATGAAAATATTAACATTTGCACAGCATTTTACAGTTTTAAAAGTTTTTTTCACGAATATTATTTTCTCATTTTGCAGTTCTATGATACAGATTGTGTTGATGTTTTGTTATCAATATTTTTATTAGGCTTTTGCTGTTAAAAAAAAATAGGGTCAAGAAAGTTGGGTAATTTGCCTGAGATAACATAGCTGATAAGTGTCCAAGCTAGCCTTTACAAAACTGAATTCAAATTTATTTTTTTTCTTTTTATCCAACCATAAAGTCTTATGAGGTAGATTTATTTAGCTTTGTGGGAACTGATTCTGGATGGGTCCTTGATCAAGAAAATATTTGGAAGCCTAAAACCTCAGGGCAGAGTGGTTCAATAAGTAAATGGCTGCGGGGGGCGGGGGGCGGGCAGGTGAGGCTCTGTCCTCCCCAGTGCAGGCACAGCGGATGTCTTTGTAGTTCTCACGTAGTCTGCCAGCTCTTTACAGAGCAGCTTGTCCCCTCTTCAGCTGCTGCATTTGTGAGCTGTGGGCCAGTTCTAGGGAGTGTACTGAATTTACACCCTGCCTGAAGTCACGTGTCAGATTTGTTAAGAGAGCTTTTTTTTTTAATTAATCACACATAAATTAGTAAAATGTCATTTTGTAAAAAATTTTGGTGAAATTTGTTTCTTACACTAAATTTTTCTAGGGTAAAAAAGCAGGAAAATGAAATAAGCCTCACTCAAGCTCTGTGATGATAATGATCCTCTATGCTGGGAGAGAATTTTGATGTTTAATGTGGTATCTGATTAAACTGAAGAAGAGTTTCCACACAGTCAGGATCCAGAGCCTGATGGTGTCTGATGTTTGACTTTTGGATTTACTCTTAATGCAATGGAAAACCACTGAGTTTTAAGCAGAGGGGTAACATCATTTGATCAGTGTTTTTAAAGAGATATCTTGGCTCTTAGTGTTAGAGCAAGAGCATCAGTTTACTCTTAAACGCCTGAGCAGAGATTCACTTTTAAATGAGAATGCCATTAACTTACAGGGAAAAATACCTGTCATTAATTAGATATTTGGGTTGACTGGTAGATTCTTAGTTTGTCTCAGGTCCTCAAAACTTTCTAAAAGCTCCTCAGGTGATTATAAAATCAGCCAGGGTTGAAAACTACCACTTTATGTTGGGGAACAAGGAAGAGATCTTGGGGTTGAGTTTTGGAGAAGGTAATAAGTGAAAAGCTATAGAAAGCTTGGAAAGTTTAACTTTTGTTTATCTACCCTTTTCAAAACTACACTTTTGTATTCATATGTTCAAATGCCTAAATGTTTTGGTGGTATGAATTTAGTAACATTAAACTTTATGGAATTCTAACCAAGACTCTTAATTCTTTACCTTCTGTTCCTTTTCATATGGAGAGGGAAAGGGCATATTAAAAAGGGATGACTATGATATAGTACAATTTGATAAGAACTTGCCAGCATTAACGGAGAATCTGTCTCTTAAAACTTTAAAAATTATTCTAAAACTAGTTTCATTTAATCCATTTAAAAATACATCTGACATTTGAGCAAACCAGTTATTAATGTCTAGTTACTTATCTGTATACCTAGAATTCTGGATTAGGATTGCTGATGCTTCCTATAACTGGATAGAAGAACATGTAGCTTTTCTTCCTTGCTCTTAGATTATTGTGTTTTATTGATATAAAATTGTATCTTTATGCTTTGTATATGAAGGAAACAAATTATTTCTATAAGATGAGAGACTTAAGGGGTGAAAGGGAATAAAATAGCTAGGTTATGAAAAAAGTAATTTTCTGTTTTTATAAATTACAACCTATAGGAGAAGGTTTATAGGAGTCTTGGATATCAAATCCAGTACAGCAAATCCAGTTACAGCAATTATAATGCTGGGATTTAATATAGCCAATACAAGTTAGGGTTGTTTATTTGTGGACATTTAGGATCACCTCTGTGTTATTTTATTCAGTGATATAGTGTACTTGACTCTGTTGAAAGTTATGCCTTAAATATTGAAATGCCTGTCTTCTCTCTTCATAGTGGTAGTCGCTCCTCTAAAACATTTAAACCAAAGAAGAACATACCGGAGGGTTCTCACCAATACGAGCTCTTAAAGCATGCAGAAGCCACACTCGGCAGTGGCAATCTCCGCATGGCTGTGATGCTTCCTGAGGGAGAAGATCTAAATGAGTGGGTTGCAGTGAACAGTAAGTAGCCTTTCTGTTTCCCAGAAGATTCTAAGTTAGGGTAGAAGCCTCATTGTAGGTGAGTTTTGGGGTGCTGTCTGTTCTAGGATCTAGTTAGCAATCTAATATCACAATATAGTGATACCTCAATCCACTTTAGCCTTTATGTTATTTTATTTCTGAATATGAGTTTTGGGAAATTCTTGTCTCCTGTTACAATGACATACAAAGCATAGATTTATCATCTTCAGGGGAAAAAATGATAACAGCAACTAATATTTATGAAACACTAATTATGTGTTTAGCACTCTGCTATCCTTTCTACATGGATTATTTTATTCCATATTTACAGCCTCATGATGTAGGTACTATTATTATCCCATTTTAAGACAGACAAGGAAGCTGAGGCAGAAAGATTAGTAATTTGCCTAGGTCATGCCACTCTTCAGTGCCAGAGCCTCGGCTTTAATAGAGAGCTATAGAATTTTAGAGACTGCACTTTAACCACTACGATAAATTGCCTCTCTCAGTAGCCTATTTAGTTATGCTGATTATGCTATTTTTTTTTAAAAAAAGACAATTCACTAGTGATTTATGAAATTATTTTTTTAAAGGTTCTTTTTTTTTTTAAGATTTTATTTTATTTATTTTTAGAGAGGGGAAGGGAGGGAGAAAGAGAGGGAGAGAAACATTAATGTGTGGTTGCCTACTGGAGACCTGGCCTGCAAACCAGGTATGTGCCCTAGACTACGAATCGAACTGGCAACCTTTTGATTTGCAGGCTGGCACTCTATCCACTGAGCCATACCAGCCAGGGCGATTTTTGAAATTATTAACGTATATTTATGAGACATTCTTAGCATCAAAGAAGAAAAACATATAAGTTAAAAAGTAAATATATTTTTGGGAATTAAGCCATTGAAAGTTGGGGAATAAAAGTGGTACTTTTAATATTCAGGTTTTTTTGGCATTAGTGAAGAAATTAATAGAATTTTATACTTGGAAGACTTTTATATGAACCTTGTAAAAATAAAATGAAATTTAATTGAGAACATACACTATACATCTAAGCTTTGTTTAAGGAAAAAACAAAACCACAGTATTTCTTTTTGTAATATTTGATGGTATCTTACTGCAATTGAAATATATCATGGGATTTATAAATTGAGCTGCCACCCACTAATTAGTTTTAGGAACTTAAAGGATTTTACTGAGATGTCTGAAAACCTTACTATGACAGTATTTGCATACGAGCAGTATTTATTCTAATGTGGTTATTTCCCTGGACCCAGAGAGTTTAGTTACTAAAGAAATAAAATGATTTTTGCTTTATCGGTAACACCCAGCTTATCTATAAAATGGTTCTGTGACACTTCAAAGACAATATTTAGAAGAAATGTCCAATTTATTATGTACATTCTTTTTTTGTACTTATTTGTGCCTTTTTTGTGGCATTGGTGCCATTTATTTAAGAATTCACTGATTTTAAAAATCTAAGGAGGGCACCCTAGAGCTTTTTACTTGTATGTATAAAAGCAGATCATCATTTTCTGTCTTTATTCTCTCTCAGTTGCTAGAACAGATTATCAGTACTACTGAAATGCCTAGAACTTCAGGAACTTCTAAAATTTCACAGGCATTTTGCAACTATAGCCAGACAAGAATTACTTTGAATTGGAGCGTCAGAACATCCCCTTAAAGCTGATAATTCTGCCTTGAAAGTACAGCATTTAACTGAAGTATTGGATTCTAAAGTTTTTCTTATTTATAGAAATCTTCCCAAATGACACTTGATGACGTGAATAAGATTTGAGGCTAGATGTTTCCACTCACTGACAGTGATTAAATAAACATTTTGGATACATAAAAGAGAGAAGGGAATTTGTTGATAAGATTGGCATCTTAATGGCTTTTTGGCTTCAGTTCCCTTGCCAGATGAAGATGGTAGAAGATGGGAAATCTCTACAAATTCAACAACTAGTCTCACAGCCAGAAACCAGAGCCGAGTTTTGAACATTCTTCTGCTAGAAAGAGTGATAGCTTAACGAAGAAAGAAAGAAGGTTCAGGGTTCTTGGAAAAGCCAGATGGATGGTTTATAAATAATTTATGTGGCACTGAATCCTGAGGCCAGATCTTGATATGTGAAAGGAAACTAATATTTATTAAATGCCCATTTAATGGCAGGCATATTTTTTTTAGTGCTCGATAATAAACTCAATTTTAAAAGTAGGAAACTGAGGATCAGGGAGATTAAGTAATCAACTGGTAAGTATAGGAGTTGGGATTCAGACTTGCATTATTTCAGAGCCATAGGTTGTCCTCGGTTCTTGTGGGTTCTTGTGGAGGACAACTTAAGAATTATTAAATTGCAATCATTACTTAGTAAATCTTGGCTCTTTGTGAGGTAGGAGAGCAGAGGAAAACTTGTGCAATTAAATTTAGTATAATGTTTATTATTGCTCTACTTTCATCAACAGTTATGTTCCATGTAAAGTTTTCTTTTTCTTTGCTCTAGAAAGTCTGAATTGAAAAAGCAAAGTGCTGGTCATGGGTAATTAATGGGATGAAAAGGTATTTTGGGATTATAAATAAAGAGATAAAGAGGAAGGGGGGGCAGATCTCAAAGTCACCATATATAGTATTTGTCCATAAATATTGGAGGAGGGGCAAAGTATGTTGAAACTAAAAAGTTGAACACTAATATAAAGAAATCTGAACAGTCATGTTAATATCAGATACAGTAGACTTCAAGGCAAAAAAAAAAAACCAAAGAGGAAGATATAAAAAATGACAAATGGTTCAGTTCACAAAGACATTCTGGAAATGTTAGCAGAAGATGGTTCCAATATATGACATTCTGAATTTAGGTGTTTTTAATAATATCTCAAAAATAAAATCAGTTGACTGAACTAACAGAAGAAATAGACAAATGCACAGAGTTAAACATTCCTCTTTTAGTAATGGATAGAAAGAGAGGATAAAAATCAACCAGGAATTGGAAGAATTTGAGCAACATGATCGACAGACTTGACCTGATGAACACCTGGTCTCAGCACCTCAGATTATACACATGTGCATTTTCAGAAATAGAAATGATTGAAATCACGTAACAAACAGTCTTTGACCATAGTGGAATTTAGCTAGAAATCATTAACAAAAACTAGGAAATCTGTTTATGTTTGAAAAGAACACAGATAAATCTAGGTTTTGCTTGAGTAAAGTTAAAACTTAATATTTTACTTATGACTGATATTTGCTTTACAGCCGTGGATTTTTTCAATCAGATCAACATGCTTTATGGAACAATCACAGATTTCTGTACAGAGGAAAGTTGTCCAGTGATGTCAGCCGGCCCAAAGTAAGATGTGGTTTATGATCAGTTCTCATTTTTACTTTATTTTACAGTTCTTAGAAAAGAAGAAAGTTTCTGACCATATAATTTGTGCACTAAGCATCTCCTTCACTGGTTTACCAATGAGTAATATATTAAGTTCAGATTCTTAGCCTGAGCTTCATCACCCTTCCTACATTGTTCTCCATCCTGCCTTTCCCTTTAACTTACTCATCTCCTCTGGTCTATCCAGACTAGATTACTGGAAGTGCCTTGCTTGCTAGTCCCTCCATTACTTATACTCTGAAAATTTGTTCATTCTGTTCTCCTGGATATTTTTCTTTTCTTACCATCCTCCTCTTACCATCTTCTGCTAACATTTCCAAAAATCTTACCCATCTTCAGGGGCCACCTCAGGTGCTTCCTTCTCCATGAAACCTGATTTCTTCAGACTGATGTGATCTTTCTATTTAACAGTTTTGTCTTTTTATTTCTTTGTTACATTATAATTATATTATTTATGTGTCTAACTTAACCTGTTAGATTCGTTCTTCTTTTAAATCTCTTTTGATGCAAAAACAATGTCTACCGTCTAGTTACCACTCTGTAAATGCTGCTTGGATCAATACATTTTTGAAACTGACTTTTGTTGTTACTATGGCTGATAAAAACAATGCCAGCACCGTTTATTCAGTGCTACCTAAATGTAAGGGCTTTATACAGCAAACCTGTCAGATAAGAAAACTATTGTTATTCTCATTTTACAGGAAAAGAAATTGAGTCTGAAAACAGCTAAGTAACATGTCCAAGGTCCTGTTATCCAGAAAAAGAACCAGGATTAAAGTCCAGGACTCTTTGATTTGCCTGTACACTTAATTCCTACATTGTATTATTTTCTTATAAGAAAAATTAATTGATATTTATAAATTATATATAGATTTTGTTTTTAGTGCTGACTTTAAGTATATTCTCTCCCCCCAATTATAAACAAAGTAAAAATATCAAAACAAAACTCTCCAAACTTACTAGTGCTTAGAAATATTATCATTAAAAGTAGTGACCTTAGATTGCTAATCACTCATTGTGCTAATGCTCTCATTGCTCAGAATATTTTTTGTAACTTTTAAATTACAGTGTCAGTCAGATCACTAGCTACCCAAGAGATTCAATTTTATTACTTCATAGTCATTATTTATTTATTGACAAAATTTACATGTTGAACAACATATTATCTAGAGTTGTTTACCTTATTCCTCAAATTGAGACTCACTGAGTTTAGATGTATCTCAGAATCTAGTCCTTTTAAAAAGAACTGACAGTTTACCATCCTCAAAGATGTTCAAAATAATATATTTTGATTATTTTCTAAGGTAATTTTTTGAAAAATAACGTTTTCAAACTATTTCAGACTTTGAAACTTCAAATAATTTTAAGTGTACAGAAAAGTTACCAAAACAGCATAAAGAAGTCTCACATCCTTTTTTACCTAGACTCTCCAGTTATTAACCTTTTACTGCATGCTTCATCACCCACACTGTGTAGTCATTAATACTAATCTTTTTTTGAACCTTTTGAGCAAATTGTAGACATTATACCCCTTTACCCCAACATATTCAATTGTGTATTTTCCAGAAACAGGGATACTCTTCTACACAACCAGCACAGAAACCCTCCGAACCACTTCCTCCATTTCATAGACACCATCTGCATTTCATCAGCTGTCTCAGTAATATCTCAGTTTTTAATTTCCGGTCAAGGATCCTGTCTATGAACATGTATTGCATTTATTTGACCTATCTCTTTAGGTACCTTCAATCTGGAATAGTTCCTCATTCTTTCCCTGTATTGGCCTTTGTTCATAAAAGAGTTATCTTAGCAGACCTGACTACGATCTCTTGAAAGCCCTGCCTCCAGGGTTGGCCCTTGATGGCATCTTCCAACTTGTATTTCTGAAGAATTCCCACAACCCTAACAGTTAAGAGTGGCTTACTGTGCCTAAACTGTACAAATGGTATGGCTTATGCTTTTCTTCTGGGCATCTGGAATTTTAGTGGGTCATGGAGGTGGTGTCTTCTTGACTATCCCCCTGAATAAAAACCCGGACTCTTAAGTCTCTAATGAACTTCTCTGGCAGACAGTTTTTAGCATGTGATAGCACAGTTCAGTCCTTGGGGAATAAGGGTAGCCTGTGTGACTCCACTGGAAGAGGACTCAGAAGCTTGCTCCTGGTTTCCTCCAGACGTTGCTCAGTTTGCCTTTCCTTTTTGCTGATTTTGGTCTGTGTTCTTTCACTGTAGTAACTCATACCTGTGAGTATGATTATATGCATTCTTGACAGGAACCCACAAAAATGATACTTCTTTTTTCAATGGATCATATCAGGAGGCCCACAATGTTGGCAGTGCCATCACTGGTGATGTTAACCCTAATTACCTTATCAAGTTAGTGTCTGCAAGGTGTCTTCATCTCAACTTTGTCATTTTCTCCGCCTTTGTAATTGACTAGTATTTTATTGGGAGGTTTTCTGATATGACATCAATATTTCGTTCCTGTGAATTAGGGAGAATTATTGCCCCTTAGGGAGGCAATATTTCGTTCCTGTATAATTAGGGAGAATTATAGGAAGAATGTACGTAATTCTTCAAAACTTATAAGGCATGGTATCTCCATAAAGATACTGCAGAAATGCGCCCTGGCCAGAGGCAACCAGTCTATGTTCCTCTCTCTTCCATCGATGTTTCTCTCTCCCCCTTCCTTTCTCTCCAAAAGCAAATTTGGAAATTTTGGGGAAAAAAATTGGGGGGAAAAAAAAAGGCCTCAGAAAGAATAAAAAAAAAAGATGCTGCAGAAATGAAAAACAATCTTCCTCTCTTCCTTGAGAAATATCAAGGAATAATAACAACCATAAAAATTAAGGATGGTCATCATTGAAGTGGGAAGTAAGCTAGGTTTTCTATTATGGCAATGCATGATTCTAAAATATAAATTTTATATATGAGGGAAAGCTATATAATAAAATTAAAACATGGGAGGAGAACATAGGAACACAAAACATGAGTTTGATGAGATCTGCTTAGGTTGGATTGTGATAAATGAAAAGTAGTTCAGTAGCCATTTGAAAACATTACATTTAAATGCCAATTGTAAAAATCTTTATTTGGAGGAATGGATTATTTAAAATATGCCCTGTATACATTCATAACACATATACGTGTATACTATAAAAAATATACACACTGTATATAGGTATATACTAATATTCTGTGTGCTTTTTATTTTTCCAATGCAGATATGAGTATCATTGGGCAGATGGAACAAACATAAAGAAGCCGATCAAGTGCTCGGCGCCCAAGTATATTGATTACTTGATGACTTGGGTTCAGGACCAGTTGGATGATGAAACACTATTTCCTTCAAAAATAGGTGCAGTAGTTTTGCGTAACTGGAATCCGTCATGATTTATCTAATTTTTTATATTTCTAGAGCTTATTTTCTCTCCATTCCAGGAACCATACTAGGTTACCGTATTTATCAAGATATTTCTAATCTTATACATTTAAAGCCTCCTATCTTTTTTATACCAATTTATAATGATTGTTAAGGTAAGCCTCCCTGTTTTTTAAACAATGAAAAGATCAGCATAAGTCAGATAGTAACAAAATTTGGCCTGTGGTATGGAAAAAAAGAGACTGGATATTGGGTAGGCAGTCAATATCATCTTCAGCAGTCATATCCATTTCTTGTTTAGGGAAGGAGTTTATATGACTTATATCCAGTTTTACATTATATTTGTGGCAAAGAGGGAGTTTGAATTTATGACCCATGGTGTGAATTTTATAGACTGAAATCAGGCTGGGTGAGAAGAAAACAAGACTTGAGGGGTTGGCCTGTTACCACTTGAGTGACTATTGCTTTTTCATATTTGTTCTTAAGAGCTGGCCTTTCAAGTAGAAATTATTCACATCTAGACAGTTCATAAGATTTTACCTTTTCAAACTTCTTATAACTGTGTTTTCTGAAAAAATTAAGAATTTGCTTTTCTCACAATAACTTTTTGACTATATTTCATGCTTTTAGTTTTTGGCAGATGGGTATGTGGAGGAGACAGTAATGTAAATAGTTGTTATTACTGACTGTTTTAAACACATTTATTTTTTAAAATTTTTAAAAAATTTTATTTATTTTTTGAGAGGGGAAAGGAGGAAGAGAGGGGAAACATCAATGTGTGGGTGCGTCTCATGCACCCCTTTCTGGGGACCTGGCCCGCAACCCAGGCATGTATCCTGACTGGGAATCAAACCAGCGATCCTTTGGTTTGCAGGCCAGCGCTCAATCCACTGAGCCACACCAGCCAGGGCTAAACACATTTACTATATGCTGTCACTGCCTTGGAGCATCTCTAATTAAAGGTCTATTTTTCATGGCTGCTTTATTTATGTACATCATAATGGTTTTGGATAAATGCCCTCACCTTATCTTTTATTCCCCATAATTTTTAACTTTTAATTTTGATCCAATTTTAGACTTTTAAAAAATTTGCAAGAATTATGCAAAGAATCCCTATATATCTTTCAGGTTCTTTAGTTGCCTCCATTTTACCACATTTGCCTTCTCTTTCTCCTTCCTTCTCTTCCCAGACATTCTTTCATTTTCCTAAACTACTTGGGAATAAGTTGCATATATGATGCCCTTTTATCCATATGTGCTTCAGTGTGTATTTCCTTAGAAAATCACAGTATAACTATCAAAATCAAGAAATTAACAGTGATACAATTATCTAATTTACAGACCTTATTTGGATTTTTAGATTTTTCCAATAATATCCTTTAGAACAAGAAAAATTTTTATTTTTAAAGTATACTTTATTGATTATGATATTACAATTGTCCCATTTTTTTCTCCCCTTTATTCACATTCACCTTGCACCCCACCCCCCACCAGCATTCCCCCACCTTAGTTCATGTCCATGGGTTGTACACGTAAGCTCTTTGGCTTCTCCATTTCTTACACTATTCTTCTTTCCCCTGTCTATTTTGTGCCTACCCTTTATGCTTCTTCCTCCCTGTACCTTTTCCCCCAATCTACCTGCTTCCCTTCCCCTCTGATAACCCTCCATGTGATCTCCAAGAGCAAGAGAAAATTTTTAACATTTTCTTTTCAATCAGTTGTCAAGTCTTATTAGCCTTCTCATTAATGTGGCATATGCACACATTGGTCTTTTGTGGACTTTCATGACACTGATATTTTTGAAGAGTATATAGGCCTGCTATTTTATTTAATGTCCCTTTATTTTGGTTTATGTTATGTTTTCTTGTGATCTCTATAATATTTTTAAACGAGCAATAGGTAATATGATGACACTGAACACAGTAGTACCAGTATTTAGCTTGTGTTTTGCTAGTCTGGGTTATTTAGCAAGAGCAACAAAATATATGGAATTTTGTATTATTCTAGGGGTTTTTTTTGTTTGTTTGTTTGTTTTGCTTAATGCTGTAAAAATGCTGTAATTCACAACAATGAGCCCGATTGACCAGAGATTGCAGCTGTTTTTCAGGATAAATGTAGACCTGGAGTTGTAACGAAATAATTCCTATAGAAAACAATTTTAAAATATATTGCAAGCGTTTGAACAAAAATGAGCATAGTTAATACATTATTTGTGTTTAGCATATATTTGTATTAATATATTATGTTACAAAATATAAGGATCTGAGTGTGAGTTTTAGCTCCATTATCATCTTAGGCATTCATTTGTTTCATTTTAGTAAAGTGTTGGTATGAAGCCTGAAGGGCTATATTGAAGACTAGTTCTTATTCCATAGAAGTTTTGATAACAAAACAAAACAAAAAAAAGAAGTTTTGAAGTTTATTTTCTTTCATGATATGTTGAGAACTTCTGAAAAGTACAGTGGGTATATTAAGTAGTAACTCATGAGTACTTCTTTTCAACCTTATCTTGGTGATTTATGTCGCCATTTGCTGACAAACTCATATTGCCTGTCTCTTGTTAATAGATTGAGGTTGTTTATCTATTTACTAGGGGTCCCATTCCCGAAGAACTTCATGTCTGTGGCAAAAACTATACTCAAACGCCTCTTTAGGGTGTATGCGCACATTTATCATCAGCATTTCGACCCTGTGATCCAGCTTCAGGAGGAAGCGCATCTGAATACATCTTTCAAGCACTTTATCTTTTTTGTTCAGGTAAGTTTGATTGGGAGGCCTTTTTTTGTTCAGTAAAAGCAGTTTACCTACAGTTTTCTGAGGTAAAAACTGTATTCATACTGTAAGGATAAAACTTGCTTTATCTCTCTAGTCTTCTTTTCTATACTTGCCATGATGATAAGGACTGCCTTTTGTTTCTGAATTTCATTCATCTTCACGCTGGTGGCATGAAGGTCCAAATAAGATGGCTTTGAGAATTCTTGCCTTGGATTTGTTTCGGTTAACAGGCTGATATGGAGGGGCCGAATAAGGAACCTGGCTGGTTTAGCAGACCCATAGATGAACTTGATCTCTTGAGCTTTTTAGCACTTCTCTTATTCTTCTTAACCCTCAATTCCTGGCTACCTTGGAATGTTTTTATATACTCTGTCCTGACAATGGGTTTTGAATGTCACATCTCCCCTCTCCTTTTTCTTTCTTCTTCTTTGAGCATTCTGAATAATTTTTAAATTAGGTACTGTCCACTATGTCCAAAGAAGGAAAATTGTCCCAAACAGTGTTGCTACTCCAGGAGGTCCATTAGTCTTTGATCTGACTCCTTAGTTGACCGGCTTTTTCTTTTCTTTTTATTCTCAGAACTGGCCTTCCAGGTGAGATTTAGAGGAATGAAGATAGTCTCACTGTGCTATAATAATTAGAGAACTAAGAGTCAGGAGTGAAAAATAGGGGGGAAAGATAAGCTAACCAGTTCCCCCCACCTCCTGCCCCCATTCGAGGTTGAGAATGGTTTATGGTAGGCAGGAGAAGTCCAAGGCTTGAATCTGTGTTGTTTTTGTATATCTTTGGGCATATACTTATAAATGCCTTTGCAATGACCCATCTCCACTAAAGAAAAACGTGTCTGTTTTCCTTCTCTACACACTTCTCACACTGAGGCACACTTTTTGTGTCTCAATTTCACCTGTATAAACACATATTAGGAGATAGTAACATGTCTAAAGTGTTGCTCTGAGCAATTACTTTACTATGGTATTCCATCTATCCATAGAAACAAAGAAAATGTTATCCTAGAGCTTGTATCTCTGTTTTGGTTTAGTCAGTGGTTTATGAAAGGATATTCTCCCACCAGAAGGGTTAGTTTTACCTTACTTTATGATCTTGAAATACACTGTATCTCCCAACTCTTAGCAAAGAGTAGGGGGTAGATACATGGCATTTACCACATCTGGGCCTATTTAGAGCTCAGGATACGGTTCCCTTCTTAAACGTGGGTCCATTAGTTATGCAGTATCAGCCCTTGATTGAATAAGCCCTTGGCCTCACAATTTAGAAAATCCTGCCCTGGCTCTTCTCCAGTTGTACTCCTCCCCACAGAGTGAGGAATCCACAGGGTGAACCACATACCTTCCCACGTCCCTTCTGTGTGTGCTTCTACCCCAGAATTCCCTGCCCACTGGTCCCAAGTCTGTTTCCAGGGTCAGCATGGATCTTTTCCTTGGGTCTCTTCTTTTGAGGGAAGGTCATACCTCTGATATGTGTACCTCTAGACCTAATGGGTAGCCAGATGGCAGCTGTTGGTGAGGGTGTGTTGCTTTGCCTGGATAAGCGAGACAAGGTGTCCACGCTCGTGTGTGAAGCCCCCTGAAGAGCAGGATGGAGCTGGCGGTTGGGAGACCAGCAAGGTTGCTGAGGGCCAGGGACTGTCTCTCCTCCTGTCACTACTTCACAGTGCAGAATTCTGAGGAGTCTTGAGAATTCTAAATTTGAATCTTTTCTCCTGGTCACTATAAAGGTATATTTTTGTAAAGGGAGGAGAATAGAACATGTTTTATTTAATAATCTATTAGCTTAATATAAAATTTAATAATTTAGTCATACTATATATATACATTTGTGTTCTTGGTCCACACCCCACAAATCTTGGTGGAAGGCTTGCTATTTAATGCCCCCTAATGCTTCCCCCCAGTACTTACTGCAGTGCTTAGCACATGATGGATGTTAATAAATCACTGAAATTGGGAGTTCAGAATGCCCTACCATGGCAGAAGATCAGAAGTATAGACAGCCTCTATTTATTATAGCTCAGTCAGGGGAAATCTATTCAGACTTGAACTTCAGAATGACACATCTCATGATAGCATGCAGAAATGTTAGTTTATAATATAAACTAATTCTTTTATTGTGAATTTGCCTGAGATGCTGGATGTTTTGGTCTCTAGTTAGTTCACTAAGTCTAAATGGCGCCCAAGTTATTCCTTTAACAGAGAGCAGCAATTCCCATTTATTGAGTGTTTACTTTGTGCCAGGGATTACTTGAAGTGGTTAACAGTATCACATTTAATCCCCACAATAATTTTATGAGGTAGGAGGATTTATCCTAATATTATTACATATGTAAAACAATATCAGAAGTGATTAAGTGATTTGCTTAAGACAGCTAGGGAATAGAAACTTAAAAAAAAGATTTTACTTTTGCTTACTGTAAAAGTTAATCTCCAGCCAGTATTAGTGGAAATCTGCTTTGGATTGAGATGTAAATAATGTTTTTGCTATTTCTTCTGCCTTTCTTTATCATGCATAGGAATTCAACCTCGTTGATAGAAGAGAACTTGCACCACTCCAAGAACTGATTGAAAAACTCACCTCAAAGGACAGATAAAGGATGCAGAACTGTTCCTTAAATGAAGTTGTGTGGAGTGTATTGGATTTCATTGTATTTTATTTTTATCTCAGTGGTTTTGTCTTAGGTTTGGGGGGCCTTGGGGGTTCTTTTTCCTTCATTCTGAATAAATAAAATTATATTCTATTGCTAGAGAAAGCCAAGAATCATTCTCTATACACTTGATAGGGGTAAATTTTCTCTTAGTGGCATATGGTATTTTTTTTAACTTGGTTTTGGTTACTTGTGGAATTTCTGATAATACTGTGTGTTGAAAGAAAATGCTTATTGATTGGACTGCTGATGGATGGGGTTTTGTGTTGTGTAAATGGTGGCCAAGTTTTGAAATCCCCAAAAGACTTATGTTTTTAAGTGCCTTGGCAGGCTCACTTCTGAGGTGCAAAGCACAGACATAGAACCAAACAGGGCTAGAAACAATATTAGATTACTACCCAGGGCACTTAACTGATTCATATATTAAAATATCTGTGCTAAAGCCATAGTTTACCTAAATTGGTGATCTCCAGTTTTTACTACATTGAAGAAACACAATTAGTCAAGTTGTGCGTGTAGAACATAAAAAAATTAGTAATACTTTAATTATTTTTTATATTAATGATGATTCTGTTCAACAAATGCATAAAGTCCTACAAGCAGATGTTTTTCCATCTCTTGATATCTGTGATGTTGAAACTTGAGGATGTTGAAATGAAATACCTATTACTGCATTTTGTCTTTCTACATGTTAACTGCACTGTAGGTGTGAATATTCAGGTTATATACAGGTTTGCCATCTTCAGAGGTGATGCTGAACTGTGAGGTTTCTTAGCAATTGCCAAATGAGCCATAAATCTGCAGAATCCCCCTCTACTATGAAGAAGTGGGGATAGGAGTGTGTATTTTGTTGGGGGGGGGTTAGTTTGTATGGGGACTTAGGAATGGAATTAAGTATGGGGAGTCAAGTTCAAGAAGGTCCTGTCTTAAAACCCTTGAATAGAATGGCATGAAGATTTTAATCATCAGTTTGTTATAAGCAGAGTCTTAGAGACTTCTTTTTTAGGAATCAACTTCCATGAGAAGTTAAAAATAAATTACTAATTTTAGGTGTTGATATTAAATACGGAACTCAAGGACTGTTTGGAGAAATTGACCACTTTCCACCATTTCCATTCAGTGAATGGAGCTGGTGTTTGCCTCTCATTTTTAAATGATACAGTACATTCTTTGCTTATTCTTGGCCCAATTTGAAGCATTCTTACTTCTGATTTTCCACTGTGAATGGAAATACTTTTCTTTGCAGTGATATCAAACAATGAAAGTGATAATTCAGTAGTTATTAACTTTATTTTCTGTGACTTTCTAGTGAATTATTCCCATAATAAATTCTGCAAATTAGTTTTTAAAATAAATATTAACATTTTAACTTCAGTTTTATTCTTGAGATATATTCTTTTCAGACTTTGTTTTAATTTTCCTGCTAAATCTGCTTCCTTCATTTAGAAATATTTAACTTTTCCCTTGTAGAATAGAAATCTCGCTCTGAAAATATTAGAAGAATCTAAAATAAAATCAGTTTGTTTTTACTATTAACAAGTCGATACAGTTTAATGCCATTGATCACTGGGAACTGCCTTTTTCTCCATTTTATTGATAGCAATCACTCTCCAGGTACCAACAGTAGAAGTAATGGGAGAGACAGGCAGAGACAAACACATTGGACATTCATTGGTAATGCTTAGTTAAAAACAGCAGTGAGGACTAGCTGATTTCCCTAACAAAATCTTTTAATATCCCAATATTTAAGATCAGCCATTATGGTTTGATTCAAAAATAAAATTTGGCATCAAGTGATTGGGGTCTTATCTATTTAGGAAAATGAAGCACATGATTACTCAAGTAGTTTTCCACAGTGCATTTGATGTTGCATCAACCTAGTATCAAAAGGGTTGCAATAACCAAGTGTAGAGAGAATAATGAAAAATTGTTCTTGTTCTTTTAAGCCTTATACAGTAGTACACTGTAAAAATGCAAAAGTGTTTCTATAAATTAATGTTTAGTAGTAGGGCCTACTTTCCCACTGTATGTATATAGGGGTTGTCACTGTGCCAGAATCTCAGGTGCCTGCTTCTGAGTATTCCTTTAAACAGAATTATTGGGAAGTAATGGGTTATGTATGTGTATATATGGTAACAAAGTAGGGAAGTTCTCCCAGGGAGAGACCTGGCATTGTACATGGTGTTACATGGCTACAAGTAGGAAAGCATTCATCAGAGCACATGAGAAATAACTGACTTAATAAAAAATTGCTTTGATTCAGTCGGTTCTCGTGAGCATTAGTGAGATATAAAGTAAGCATCAAGTCTTGGCTTTGCGGCAGACCTTGCTTATAACTGTTTATTGGACTTTTTCCAAATCTCTTTATTAAGTTTATAAATAATCAAGATAAGGATTTCCCCCCTGTTCTTTATACACAGATGTACAACAGAAGTTGGTTTTCTCATCTGCTAATAAAAGCATAAAATATAAAGTAACAAGTTAACAGTATTTTTACAATGCTTTGATTAAATGTTGGTATGAAGCAAGTTTTAGGAATTATTTTAAATGACAGAGTCATGATGTTGGAGAGAACTTAAAAAACAGAGTGTGAAAACCTTTTAGTTCGCAGTAGATGGTGCTATTGGCTTTCATTTCCTGACTCGAGTACTCTTTCTCATAAAACCCACTGCATTAAACTGCACTAACACAGTAAGAATGTGTGTTAGCTTACTGTTTGGAGGTCAGTTTATCTTAAATTAAAAGATTTTAGATTGCTGTCACTTTTTACCTTTGTCATTTGTGAATTCTAAATGGTCAGCATAAAATGTATTAGGAGAAGACATGTTTAGTATGTAATATATCTCAGACTGAATTATGGCCTATTTTATCAGGAAAGATGAAGCACTACAATCTGCTTATATTCAGGAATTACAGGTGATGTGGATATTTATATGTTACATGTAATCTACCAGACTCCATTTTATGTTTTAGCATTTTCCTTCCTTATGGGGAAAATAGCAAAATGACAGCTTTCTTTTATACCTTTGTCTACACCCTCTCTGAGAGAGGTTTTGATAACCACTGAAACGGTAAAAATAAGTGAGATGCAATTACTAAGTTATAGGACTTTCTTTTAAAATAAATGTTATACTTTAAACATCTAAATGAGAGTTGATCTTCAGGGTGGTTCCTTTGGGAGCACTACTTATTCCAGCTGTGCTGCAAAGGTGTAGAATTTTTGGAATGCTTTCAAAGATGCCTTGAGAATCAGTTTATGACTATGCAAGGGGATCTATTTTATCATTTTAGTTACACCAAAAACTGTTTTTGGCAAATAATGTGACCTGTCTCATTCACCAAAGTAACTCTGCTTTGCTGTTTTCTTAGAACTAAACCATTAGAGGCAAAGAATGTGCCATCGGTTCTGAATTTGCAGAAGAGAATATTTTGAGTATAGGGTAGCATCATTTAATAAATGTCATTATTTTGAAGTAGACAGTATCATTTGGATGTATAGGATTTATTTTTTAAATTTAATTATTTTTCAGCTAAATATAATAGTAAAAAAATCAAAGTCTTTATCTTACTTTCTATTTTTTTGTTCCATTCCCTGATAATTCTTGAATTCAGTCTTGACTACTGTAAGATAGTTTTGATTGAAGGAACTGTTAAGAAAAAAAATGGGCCCAATATTTAAAATACATATAGTCTAAGGAAACAACAGCCTTTACCTCCATCCCTTTAAAAAAACAAAACAAAACAAAACAAAAACATTTTCACCCAGATGAACAATTTGAATTTAAAGACTGGAGATCATTTTACCAAGAAGTTGGAATAAATTTTATATGTTAATTAGGCAGAGTTTTCAGCCTACATACCACTGATAAAATATTTAAAATCTTATAGCCATTTCATATTCACTTAAAACTTTAAAATTGTGAATGTCTTTTTAAAAGATGTGGGACCAGAAGTATATTTGTAATTTGACAATGTGTCTGCATACCAAGAGGAAAACTTTACTTATTTTGAAATTTATCTAGAATATTAAAGAATGCACCAATTCTTAGAAATGCTATTCTAGATCTGTATTTTAAGGACCATTTCTAAAATAATTTAAATACTGGAGTTTTATCATAATGTTAAGATTCACAATAGGAATTACTATTGTTCAGCTGTCAGTTTAATGGTGTATAAGATACATATTTAGAGGTAAAACTATCCCAATGAAAAAGTTTAATTTTGAGATGTAATAACAATTCTGACTGCAGACAAGTAGAATTTTGGGGGGTTTCCTAATGAACTAATCGTATGGAAGAATTCATTTTGAAGGCTGTAAGACTGTGCTCCACGTATGCTACTTGTAGCTGAACTGATATATAAATTTTGCCAAAAGAGAAAATACAGATTAAAACATTGAGTATTCTTAATTTTACTAGCGAGATGCAAATTTCTTTTTCTATGTATAATACTCTACAATAGATAACTTTGGATTTCAGTTCTCAGAGATTGACATTGAAATATCTGGCCTTTCCCAGCTGTATGTTTACCTCTCATCCCCTTCTCCTTGGAGGTAAATTGCTTCTTTACTGCTGTTGACTATGCATACCCTCCACCACCCCAAAACACACCCATGTGGAAGACAAAGCAGATTGATTGTGCAGGTCCTCATTGTCAGTCCTTCTAAGTTACTTGCTGTTAATGCATAGGTTTTAGCTGAACTGTTGAAGATGCTACTTCCATAGGCATTTTTTTGTTGTTGCTGACAGCTTTCTTTAAATATGTCACTGAAGATGAGATCATTAATGATATAAGTTAATTTTTGTTAATATTTAATTTCTCTTATATATTATTGTGTTTCTTACTGGTTTGCACATGTTTTTCTTTTTACTTTATTTCTGAAATAACTGCAGGTTGTAATATAGATTACATTAGTACATTTTCATTTTAAGAACACTTTTCTCCTTAAATTGTTCTGCTGAGATAAATATTTTTAGGGGAAGTAGTTTTTTAAAGCCACTAAATTGTATTTGTTATTTTTGTACATGCATAACTAGGGTGCTGAGTGCACTAATCTTGTCGGGGAACACTTAACTTTCGTTCTATTTGAACATTTCTAATACGTG